GCTTCTTCTCATGGTTAAGCATATGAACTAGGATGATCCATTTGGGATGATTCTTGAAATTAAAGACTTCTCCAGGCAGGATGACGAGCACAAGCACTAAAAGAATGATTAGTGCAGAAAAATCTGAAAGCTTAAAGGACCACTAAATGCATATAACACAAGTATGGATAATGAAGAGTACATTGTATCCTAAAAGTACTGTATGTACTAAATCCATTTTCTTTATTTTTTTATGTGATTGAAGTACTCATGACCTAATTTCTCACAATAGCTTCAGTTGCAAATACTTGACCTTAAGCAAATCAAGTCTGAGACTAGGGCCGCTTGCTGGGTATGTTCCATGGACATTTCCAATACAAACTGCTAAAGCATCAATGCCCGTCTCAGTGATGAATTCTTGAGCCTGAAAATAGTACATGATATTAACCTTGGTACATCAGCATTCTGAAAAGATAATGATCCTTCCAATAGAAATGGATAGTCACCTGAGTAACATCAGTCAGCCTTGCTTCATAATCTTCAACAGTCAAGTCATCTTCAGTTCCAGATAATCTCCCAAGTTCAGCTTCTACTAGCATATTTTTTGCTTGTGCCAGAAATGATATGAACTTTGTGAATGAGATATTTTCCTTGAAAGGAAGATGTGAACCATCTACCATGACTGAATCAAATCCCTGGCATCAATATTAAATCAATGATACCATTTAAGTTCAGAAGTTAGTTAATACCAAATGATTGCCAAAGGTAAACCTACAACTATGCTGCTGACTGGTTTCCCAGGCAGTTTGATACATACCATCTCAAGAGCTTCCACCAGCTCATACTTGGAACTTCCATGATCAAAGTGAACAGTTATAGGAACCTGTTATGCATAAAAATACAAAACTCATTGCACCAAATTAAGAAAAATTTCTTTGGTAGGCAATACTTCTTTGGTCCTAATGGGAAGGGGTGCTGACAGATGACTCAACCAACTGTGCTATCCCAACAGTACCCATGGGAAAGGCAGGCTTCATCCAGGGTGCAACTGCTCTCATGGAACATGCTAACCTGTTGTGAGGTTCAAGCCTGCACTTCCCCTGCAGGGAGTTGATGGCACTAACATCCAAACTAGGACCTATTGGCAGCAAAAAAACGAATAAAAAAAAAAAAGCAAAACACAAATATGAATGCATGACACACTGACTGTGAAACCTATGGACATTCATTCACATTGGAACTGATCAAACTAATTAGAAATAATAACACATTGTGAACATCCTATGGGACATTCAATGCATCCCATGAATACAGGTTGTACCAATTAGAAACAGCGAAGGTTTCTCTTCAACAGATTAGTTTGAAGCATATCCATGACATTATCACATAATGCAGAGTAGAGAAATATGATAGAACTCAAGGTTTGCATAGGAAGAAAAGGTAATCATTGTCAGCTAGACATCATTTATCTACCTATCTAGGTAGTACGCAAACAGAGATGAATGTCTAAGGTATATGGTGTTTGCATGTTACATATCCCATCAGTTACAGCATCTGGAAATTTCACCTAGCATCTGGAGCAGATAAGGGTCTGTCCAGAAAACCTAAAAGATCTTCGTTTTTCACTTTTCACTTTAACCATATCGAGATTTTTTTGACATTACCAGAATGAAGGTAAGACATGGAAATGAAAACCAACTCACCCAACTTTTCTCAGGATAAAACATAATTCTCCCATAATTTCACAGGGTTATACCTAGTTATCCAGACTAAACTGTTGGGGGCATAAATTTGCATTTATATAAACACATTAATGACATTGCATTTAATGTCATAACAGTACCAACAGGTTGAATGTAAGATGGCATTTTATATGAATACTCTTTTAATAACCATACATTACCATATACATAGGCACAAATATGCAAACAGAATGTCACTTACATTGGCTTGTTCAGCTGCAGAGATACAACATGCAACCAAGGGAATTCCTCCCTGCTTCAAGGCACTTGGGTGAATCTGAAAAGATATAAAATTCAGGATATGCATATCAATTACGATCCAAGGAAAGATGAAATAATTATACAGATGATCCACAATTTAATGTATGCTCAGGGGCTGAAAGAAGGGGTTCTTCTAAATGTACTTTGAATATCAACACAACAGTCCAGAATATTAGTAGACAATCAACCTTCAGAATCATACAACAGTATTTGTATAAAAAGCTTCACTTCTACTGATGATTAAGTTCCTTTGCACAATAAAATATGCATGCCAATAGGAAAAAGCTCATACTCTCAAAATAAAAGATCTGGAACAGATCAGAATAAAAGAGTTTATCTGCCAAAACTTGTAAATTTTATATTTTTATAATCATGTCCAATACATTACTCCATTTATGCATTTTTGGAACATGTTGCATAATAAAATGGTGCTAAAATAATAGAATTGCTTTCGTAACAATCCTTGGGGTTTTAGAGAATTGTTTTATATTCTATCCTCTAAGGTTTGCTGCAAGGTCCATCATACTGCTTGAAACACAATAATTTATTTGAAAGTTGAAGTGCTCATTGCATATGAACTGTGCTGCATCAAATCTTAGGCAACTGGACCACTAATTAAGGCACTTCCTCTTTAACTATTGAGAACACATGCTGCATGTTTCTACTGTTGCTACAGTAGTCCGAACCAGTGAGGAGAAGAAGAAAGAGAAGGAGAAGAAGAAGAAGAAGAGAAGAAGAAGATGAAAGAACTGTCGAAC